GAAACATGACTAGATGAAGGACAAATATTCTTTCCTATCTAATATGCCTTCCACCTTGTGCCCTCCCATGTTTAATGTAAGGGAGCAGCAGACATGGCAGCAATAGAGAGATCATTTTATCATTTTATTCCTAAGTTGATAGTATTTCTTGCTAAGACTGTGCTCAGGAAAGGAGCACTAGGTTTTATAAGCATGTCCTGTTGTGTAAGACTGTAATCAAAACTTTGGAAGGAGAAGAAAAGCAGGCTGATTCAGAGCAGCCTCAGATAATCAGGTGAAAAATAGGAAAATAGGGAAAGCCAGGGAAAGAGGGAAAGGCAGTCTCTAGAATGGCTGCTTTTGAGGAGGGACCTTCATGGCTCTTGTGAGCACTTCATCTGGGTCTGGGAATCTACCTTGGCTGCAGGCGTTCGAGTATGACACCTAGTGAAAAAAAACTAAACCAGGATTCATACAAAAAGCTCTCCAGTTACAGGGAAGATTCTGTGCTTTCCTACCACAGAGTGGTCAATTCGTAATACTCTGCACGCCATTTAAAGAGAACTTTGTATCTAGAGATTATCACAATCACATGAGTATTTTCCTGTGCAGTAGAAAGAATATAACGCCAGGTCTCCACTATACTGGACCCGACGTTTTCGTCGCGACTGTCCCGTCTCCTTGAGCGTCCTGTGGGCGAGGCAGGGTGGGCATCTCTCGGCAGCGCTCGGTGCCTGCAGTGCCGGGAGGAGGCTGCGGGCGCCGCTGTTGACCGAGAGGAGCGAGAGGAAGGTCGGAGCGCTGCAGCCCCGCCCGCTGCGGACCAGCTCGATCGCTGGATCGCTGGATTCCTGGCTCGGGCAGCGATCTGTTTCCGAACATCCCGGCGGTGTGGAGCCGTGAGATAGCGGGGCAGAGGGGCCGGCGGTAGCGGCCGGGAGCGACAGGTTTAAGGCGGAGTGTGAGCGGGATCGGCGGCGGGGATCAGCCGGCAGTGTTGCGGTGCCGGCGGTGCGGCGGCGGCGATGTGCTCGGCGGGGAGGCGCTGGGGCCGGCGGCAGCGAGTCCTGCTCTGGGGCGTCCTGCTGGCGGCCTGGAAGGCGGCGTGGGGGCAGCTGCGCTACTCGGTGCCCGAGGAGATGCCCAAGGGCTCGTTCGTGGGCGACGTGGCCAAGGACCTGGGGCTGCAGCTGCCGGCGCTTCCAGACCGCGGCATCCGCGTTGTCACTGAAGGTAGGACGCAGTATTTCACCCTGCACGAAAAGACGGGACATTTAGTGACGGCCGAGAGGATCGACAGAGAGCAGCTGTGCCGGCTGGTGGAGAAATGCGTGCTGCGCTGTGAGCTGATAGTGGAGGGGGAAATGCAAGTATATGGTATTGAAGTAGAAATCACGGACATTAACGATAACACACCTAGCTTCAAAGAAATTGAAGTGGAGGAGAGGATAAGCGAGACGACAGTGCCGGGATCGCGGTTTCCCTTGGCCGAGGCTCATGACCCGGACTCGGGACGGAATTCCTTACAGAGCTACGATCTGAGCGGCGACGAGCACTTCTCACTGGCCGTGCAGACGGGCCCCGGCGGGGATCAGCGTCCCGAGCTGGTGCTGGCGAAGGCCCTTGACCGGGAGGAGGCGGCGTTCCACGAGCTGGTGCTGAGGGCGATGGACGGCGGCGATCCGGCCCGGACGGGCACGGCGCGGATCCGCGTGACGGTGCGGGATGCGAACGACAACGCGCCCGTGTTCAGCCAGGCGGAGTACACGGTGCGTGTGCCAGAGGACGTACCCGTGGGCTCCGTCCTCGTCACCGTCACGGCCGCTGATCCTGATGAGGGGCTGAATGGGCACGTGAAATATTCGATGAAGAAAGCGAAGGACATGGCATCGCATATTTTCCATGTAGACGCCGAGACTGGAGAGATCACACTATTGCAAAGCTTTGACTTCGAGGAAGGCAATTTCTACGAACTGGAGGTGCAGGCTCGCGATGATGGCGACCTTTTCGACATGGCCAAAGTTTTGATCACTGTCACAGACATAAATGACAATGTGCCAGAGATTTCGGTGAGGTCAGCACTAAATGAGATTTCAGAGGACGCTCCATCAGGAACGGTGGTGGCCCTGCTGCACGTGCACGACAGAGACTCGGGGGCCAACGGCGAGGTGCGCTGCTCGCTCGACGGGGATGTTCCGTTCAGCCTGGAGAAATCCTATGAGGACTACTACCGCGTGGTGACAGCGAGAGAGCTGGATCGGG